GTACTTTCAGTCCAGAAATATTTTTAGCAAAACTTTCCCGCTCAGTGGAGTTTTATTAAGAATTTCTGTAAAAAGATGGAATTCACTGGCCCATAGATACATTGGAAAATGCATCTATCTTCTTTCCGACTTGTTTATATATTCACAGTTGCTTTTTTTTAATAAAAATCTTTTACTGTAGAATACTTTTAATTTCACTTTATGCATTTTAATTTTGCTGAAGGGCTGATTGGACTTCCATGTTCTTAAAAACACTCTAACAAATCTTAAAGAGCCCACCGCCAACTCCACCTCTTTTGCTCTTAGGTGGTGGCAGGAAAGTAAACCCTGCTGCCACCCTTGCCAGGTGGACTCGCCATGGCTCCTGCTGTGGGCTAGGACTGGTGAGGAGCCTCCAGGCCACCAGCGAAATCAGTGGGAAAAAGGAGAAATTAGAGCTTAGGTGTGCATGAGAAGGTGTAAGGAATAGAGGCAGAGGACTCCTGCCAGGGGGCACAGAGACAGGGGCCAGAATGTTCCTGCTATGATATTTTGTCGTTTTGTTTATGTGCAAGTTTGCAACTCCTTATTTATGTTAGTATTTGGCTCTTTGCATAAACTTTTTGGCATAATGGGCTCAAGACAACAAAGTGCATGATCATAAAAAATTAAGTACTGGATTTTCACCTCTCAAAAAATTGATAATGGACATGGGTATTAGTGTCTCAGGGCTGAAGTAACAAAGTACCATAAACTGGTGACTTCAGAGAACATAAACTATTGTCCCACAGTTCTGGAGGCTACAAGTTCAAATTCAGGGTGTCAGCAGGGCCATGTTTTCACCAAGACTCTAAGACTTGTTCCTTTTTTGTGTCTTTCAGCTTCTGGTAGCCCTGAGTGTCTGTTGGCTTGTAGACACATCTTCACATGGCTGTCTTTCCTCTATGTCTCTGTGTCTCTTCTCCTCTTTATAAGGACACCACTCAGATGGGATCAGGACCCACTCTATTCCAGTATGACCCCATATTAACATAGCTCATAATATCTGCAAAGACCCTGCTCACAAACAAGTTTCACAGGTACAGGGGTTACATGGCTTTTGGGGGGACACTCAATCCATACCAACATGTAATTTTCACAATATGTTTGTTGTCACTTACCATCTGTCATAGTGGCTATAATAATATCCCTGATCACCTGAAAACTTCAGACCCCAGTCTGCTGAAGGAGCATCAGCATCTACTTCAAAGGTTAGTTGTTACTTTAAAAAGATGATACCTAAAGATGACACTTTTCTGCATATCTGCAGAAGGTACATTTCCTATCTCAGTAGAATACAACTTTTCATTTTGACCAAATAATGATTTCAATTCCAACTTTTACATTTTTAATTCTAAGTTTATTTATGCATATACAAAAGAAATTAATTGACAGTTTGTCTTAGTTATCTAGTGCTGCTATAGCAAAAATACCACAAATGAATGGCTTTAACAAAAAGAAGTTTATTCTCTCACATTTTAGGAGGCTAGAAGTCCTAACTCAGTGTGCCAACTCCAGGGGAAGAATTTCTCTTTCTGTTGGCTATAGGGGAAAGTCCTTTTCCTCAATCTTCCCCTGTGTCTAGGAGCATCTCAGCACAGGGACCCCAAGATCAAAGGATGCACTCCACTCCTGGTTCTTCTTGCTTGGTGGAAATGAGGTCCTTATCTCTCTACTCATTTCTCTCTCCTTTTATCTCTTGCAAAATAAAAGGTGATGCAGGCCACACCCCAGGGAAACTCTCCTTACGTCAGATCAGGGCTGTGACCTGAGTAAGGGTGTTGCATAACACCCCAGTCCTCTCTAACATAACCTAACCTTGCTTTATTAACCACGGGCAGAGATTAGGATTTACAACACATAGGAAAATTACCTCAGATCACAAAATGGAGGACAACCACACAATACTGGGAATCATGGCCTAGTCAAGTTGACACACATTTTGGGGGGACACAATTCAATCCATAACACAGCTATTAATGTGTTGGGTCCATTAAAAAACAAAACCAAACCCGTTGCCATTGAGTTAATTTTGACTCATAGCAACCCTATAGGACAAAGTAGAACTGTCCCATAGCGTTGCCAAGGTGCTGCTGGTGGATTGCAACTGCCCACCTTTTGGTTAGCAGCCAAACTCTTTTAACTACTGCACAAATAGGTCTCCTTGGGCTCATTAGTAGAACAAAAAATTCTCAGTAACATGATGTCAGTTTTATATCATTTCCATCGAGTCTTTCAAATAGAAAAATCAGTTAATTCAGATAGTGATTAGATTGTCTTCATTCAATTCATGAAAGAAAAATAAAACTTTGGAAAAATCTTTCTGTTGAGCATAAAATAGCTGATATTCTAGTGAGTGCTATTAAAACTCACGAAAAAAGTAAACATTGACAATAAAAATTATGTGTTTTGCAGTTACAATATGAATACAAATTTTAGTGAAGTACATTGTCATAATGAAAACTAATATTTTTCCTAAATTAAGAAACCAATGAAGCTGAAAGATAATTTGGATTGTTTGTAATTCAAATACAATTCAAAAAAGCATTCAAACAAGCTGTGATACTTTATCAAGCAAAATAGAAGTTGTAGTTGACAAAACTTTGTAATTTGTTTTTCTATAGGCAGAGTGATCTATAAAATTTGTGTAAAGCATCTCATATTGACCAACAAAAATACTTCAGCATGGTGTTCACTTTTTCTTCCTTTGCTTTCTCTCATCAACCATATTTTAGATATGAGTGAGTCTTCAAAAAACTACTTTATAAATTAATCTAAATTTGCTACAAAGACATTGAATGTTTTGGTAAACAATTGTTCTAAATTTTGATTACTTTTGTGCGGAATTAGAGGTAATTTGTAATCAAAGGATTCAACAAATGGAACACAAAAAAATTTCTGCTTTTAAAGCTGTTAGTAAATTAAAATTTATTGAAACTACTTATGAACAGGAAGACATTGAATATTGACATTTATCCCTACACAAGTAGGGAAGAAAAAAACAAATTAAACTATGAGAGCTCAATGGTGTAAAAGATTGAATTTCAAAGTTTAATAATTATGCTTTAGAATAACTCACCCTCTAGAAAGAATTTTATGGTGTTATTGCTTTTGATTAAATAAATGCATATTCTATACTACAAGTGAACAAAATTGAAAAGGGCTACAATTTTGCACAATATAAATTTGGTGAAACATTCAAAAGAATCATGAATAGAGAAAATTTATTTGATAACTTTGTCTTCTAAAATATTTTGAAGAAAGTGTTTTTCTGAATGGAAGCTAAAATATTCGCACAACTTAGTACAAAAAAGTTAGAATTGAGAATGGCCTCCCTTTAGCAGAGCATTCTCCACAGAATCCATTGAAAATGTCAGCAATTTCAAATTTATTGGCCATAAAATGCAACTCTGAAGAACACTGCAGGCAATTTTATAAAGATAGGAGAGATAAAAGAAGATATTGAAAAAATACATTATTCAGAAAAATATCAGTGACAAAGCATCTTCTACCTAGGACTGCTGTAATAAAATATACCACAAACGGGGTGGCTTTAAAGAATAGGAGTTTACTCTCTCACAGTTATGGAAGCTATGAGTCTGAATTCAGGGAATCAACAGAGCTCAGTTCTCTCTCTCTCTCTCTCTCTCTCTCTATATATATATGTATATATCTGTCTGGGCACTAGGGGACGATCTTTCTCTCTTTGATCTTCTGTAATCCCAGGCATTTCTTAGGGTTTCTTGGATGCTTATAGACACAACTTCTTGTGGCATCTGCATTCCACTGGTGTATATCTGTGTCTATTCTGCTCTTTTATAAGAACTTCACTCAAAATTTAGGAAATTCCAAGGAAAAATATGTGCCAATGGAAGCTTTATGACTTGGTCAAGCTTTCCAAACAGGACTGGTCAAGAAGGGCATTCCCAAAGAGAGCTATTCTTAAGGAAAAAATTTTCAGTGACCCTCGGAGAACACTGGGGCTTGAATGAATAAATAGTACCTCTCTGTGTACCTTAAGATACTGCCAAATCAAGACTGAGAGAATCATAACAATAATAATGATAAGCCTTCAAGAATAGGTGTATTATACGATCCCTGGGTGGCACAGCTGTTACGCTTTTGACTACTAGCCAAAAGGTTGGTGATTCAAACTCACCCAGAGACATCTCAGAAGACAGGCCTGGTAGTGTACTTCTGAAAGGTCACAGCCTTGAAAACCCTCTGGATCACAGTTCTATCCTGCACACGTGGGGTCCCCGTGAACTGGAATTGACTGGACTGCAGCTAACAGCAGTAACCGTCCCATAAGAATAGGTGATGTGAAGACATTCAGGCGAGAAATGGAAGTAGGAAATCCAGGGAATTCAAGGTGTTTTGCTTTGTTTAACACGACAGTTGAATTGAACTCGTTTGATTCCATTTGAAAGTTGATTGCACAGTTACTGAATCCCAGGATAACATAGGTTTGCTGTTTGTTTGTGTTTTTACTTTAGGTAAGCTGTCTTCTCTTAAACTGGTTAATTAAGAACCTTTTATTGGTATCATAAATGAAAATCTTGACTCAGTTTAGACAATATTTTATGTAAAATAAAAACTCCTTTCTTTTGTAAGCTGTTTATTCAAAACAAAAAAAAAATATGTTCCAACCAGGAATTCTATTCAAAGCCATACCATTAAATAGAAAGATAAAATAAAGATATTTTGAGACATGCAAGTTTCAAAAAATGTATCTCATGCACCCTTTCTCTGGAAGCAACTGTGGTATGTGTTCCAGCAAACGAGGAAACCATGGGAACCAGGAAATCCCCATAAGCATAAGTAAATAGAATCCCCAGTGTAATGAAGAGGGAGAGCCTAAGATGGCAAGCGTCCAGTTTGGAGCAGGTAGAAAGATCAAGGAGTGATGTCTGTATTGGTAGCTCTCAATACCATATTAGCAGTTTATAAAGGGGGCCCTACTGAAGTCCTGGCCTGGGCCCTGGCTGAATTGATACCAACATGTCCAGAAACAAGGAAAGGATTAGAAACCAAATCCTTCCATCGTTTGCATCTCCAGATTTAGAGCTAGGAATGTAGATATAAGCAAATGGAGTGGATTTGGAAATGATGCATCAGCTGCTTCCTCTTGCAGTATTCATCAGACCAAGGAGACATTTCCCTCCACACACCAACGCGGAGTCAGGACTGAGGATGACCGACTCCTGTGACTATTGGGAAAACCAACTCTCACCACTTTTCTTCGCCTTCATTTTCACCATCTTAGGCACCGAGTGCGTCATTGGAATCATTGCAAATGGATTCATCATAGCTGTAAATGCAGCCGAATGGGTTCGGAATAAGGCAGTTTCCACCAGTGGCAGGATCCTGTTTTCTCTAAGCATATCCAGAATAGCTCTCCAGATCTTCACGATGCTAGAACTCACTGTCAGCTCAATCTTCCCACATTTTTATAATCAAGTTGTGGTATATGATACATTGAACATCAGCTCTATATTCTTAAACTATTGTAGTCTCTGGTTTGCTGCCTGGCTCAGTTTCTTCTATTTTGTGAAGATTGCAAACTTCTCCTACCCTCTTTTCCTCAAACTGAAATGGAGAATTTCCAGATGGATGCCCTGGCTTCTGTGGCTATCCGTGTTCATTTCCTTGGGGTATAGTGCATTCTTCATGAAGGACGTCTTTCCTATGTATTGTATCAACACATTTTTTATACACTCCTCCAACTCCACGGAGAAGTACTTCACTAAGACCAACATGGTCAACCTTGTCCTTCTCTATAACCTGGGCATCTGCCTTCCTCTCAGTGTGTTCATCCTGGCAACCACCCTGCTGATAGCTTCCCTCGGGAAACACACCCTGAACATGGAAAGCAATGCCACTGGCTCCAGGGACCCCAGCATGCAGGCCCACATGGGGGCGATCAAAGCCATCAGCTACTTTCTCACTCTCTACATCTTCAATGCTGTTGCTGTATTTCTCTATATGTCCCATATCTTTGATATCACCAGTCCTTGGATACTTTTGTGCAAAATCATCATGGCGGGCTACCCTGCTGGCCACTCAGTTCTGCTTATTTTGGACAACCCTAGCCTGAGAAGAGCCTGGCAAAGGTTCCAGCACCGAGTTCATCTCTACCTAAAAGGGCAGACTCTGTGACCAGCACCCAGGGAGCACCATGGGACTTGGTCCCTCAGCTCTTCATTTCCTCCCAAGACCTCTGTTCCCTCCTCTTCTCTCCCCCAAACCTACCCTGATCCTATCACCCAATGTAGTTTTTTGTGTAGGAGATTGATCTTCACTCTTCTCTTTTTTTTCATGGGCACAGTGTTAGTGATGCTTAACATACTATTTGCCTGGACCCTCTATTTCTACTTCTACTTGCTCTATCTAAAGCAATGATTCTAAACCATGACAACACATTAGACTCTTTAGGGGACATATTTTAAAATTCGAATGCACGGCCTTACCCTAGATCATTAAGTCAGAATTTTTGGTGTTGGAACTTCGACAGTTTTCTTATGTTCTTCAAGTGGATATAGATCAATATAGAGGAAGGTTCCCCAACTTGGGCTTTTGGTAACTCCTCCTTCCCCTTTCAAATACCTTTGGAAAGTGTCTGCTGAGGACCTACACTGGATACAATAAACAGATTCAGATTATTCAGGAAACTTTCTAAGCAGCAGTTGGAAGTGCATTTTGTCTCTTCCTCCAAAGACATAACATGAAAAATTTGAAAATATTAACAGTGCATAAAATACCCTTCAACCTAAAAATTACTGTCTGAGAATTTTCCTAGAGATAATATAAATATGCAAAACTATGTGCATAATGGTCAATTCAATTATTTAATACCAGTGTTCATTAATAAGGACACTGGTATATCCATGAAATGGGATGCTAGGTAACATTTTTTTTTAATGAGTTATATTTGTAAGTCCTGAAATGAAAAGATCTCCAATATATTCATATTGTTAAACGCAGAAAGTAGGGAATTATTTTTGTGATTCTATTTGTTTCTCTTTCTTAAAAGAAATACACGTAAATTGTGTGTGTGTGTGTGTGTGTGTGTGTGTGTGTGTGTGTTTGTATAGTTTCTGGGCCAAAAATGATTACTAGAGGAGTCCTGCACATTGGCATTAGGTATCTGGTGAATGACTGCAATGTTTACATTTCATTTTATAGCTTTGTGCATTGTTTGAGCTATTTAGAATACGTATGCATTAATTTCACAACGTTAAAAGATTTACATTGAGTTTTTTAATTAGAAAGAGAACTAGGTAAGTTGGAAAAGATTGAGGGAGGAGATTGTGTGTTTTAATTTCTTTGTTGATTCTCTCACTATGTTTGTTTTCAGAAAAAAATGCAAACTTCCAAAATCATGAGTTCAACATCTCACTCTATCAACTTCCTCCAGTTTTCCATGTGACTTGCTCTCAGGTTGCCATGGAAACATCCAGAACCTCCAATCCATTGATACCTCTATGATCCCTGTCCTATCCAGTTTGGCTAGATGGTTAATCATTATGCCCATACTCCTTAAAAATACTTCTAATATTTACATATGAAATATGTCTGAGGTTGGCTTTAAAATAATCCAACAGAGTATGAGGGTAACAAGTAGAAAGGGTTAGATTGGTTACATGTTGATGATTTTTAAACAAGGTTTCAAGTACTTGGGGGCTTTTTATACTAATCTCTCTGTTTCAGGGTGAGTTTGGAATTTTCCCTAGTAAGAAAATTTTTCAGTAAATCAATAATAAAATACTCTAATTTCCTGATCTCTTTCTCTTTTCATCTCCCTCCTGTGATATAATCCCACATCTAGTGGAACCCAACTACTTACCCACTCTGTGTTTGCTTCTGGGCAGCTGAGTGTCACTTGGGAATATTTCAGAACTGGATGAACTTATGTCCCTACAAACCCATACTCTTTAGCCACAAATGAGTCACATCACTGAGCCTTCCTATCTTGTATTTCTCTAGAGAAGTCACTCATTAACTCTACACAAAGACCATCTCCCATATTTTTCTCAATGTTCAAACCTGCAACCCTCTTCTCTCTGCCTCATTTTCAATAGATGAACTTGTTTTTCAATCCTTTAACAGAAGCTATTAGAATAGTGTCCCTCCATCTTCCCATTAGCAAACCACAAAATCACCCATTTTCTCCTGCGCTCTAATACTTCAGTACAAAAAGTGCTGCTCCATGAAGAAATTAATTAGACATGTTTGAACTATTTTTCTCCTTCCTCTATTATTCTCTTTACTCCAAGATCCATTTTTCTGTGCATTTGACTTCCTGTCTTCCATGAGTGAACCTTTCCTAAAAACAGCTTGTGGTCCTTGAATGTTGGCACTAATAAACTGATTGCAAAATGTAAAAACAATTTTTAAAAAATACTTGAAAATATAAAAATTATCTTGAAAGCTCTGTGTAAGAGGTATCAAAAGTAACACATCAAAATCAAAACATTAGCTATACAACTCAAACAAATAGAAAGAGAATAGCGAAAGAAGCCCACACCCATCAGAAGAAAGGAAATAAAGATCAGAGCAGAAATAAATGAAATATAGAATAGAAAAACAATAGAAAGAATCAACAAAAGAAAAAGTTGATTCTCTGGAAGGATCAACAAAATCAACAAACCACTGGTCAAATTTACAAAACAAAAACAAGAGAGGACACAAATAACCCAAATAAGAAATGAAATGGGGGACATTACAACAGAACCAAATGTAACAAAAAGAATTCTAACAGTAGTTGTTTTTACTGTTATTACCTGCCGTCAAGTCTGTTCCAACTCATAGTGACCCTATGTACAACAGAACAAAACACTGCCCCATCCTGTGACATCCTCACGATCATTGTTATACTTGAGCCCACGGTTGCACCCACTGTGTCAATACATATTGTTGAGGGTTTTCCTCTTTCTCATTGACATTCCACTTAACCAAGCATGATGTCCTTTTTCAGGGACTGGTCCCTCCTGATAACATGTCCAAAGTGTGTGAGATGTAATCCCCTCATCCTCACTTCTAAGGAGCATTCTGGCTGTACTTCTTTCAAGAAAGATTTGTTCATTCTTCTGGTAGTTCGTGGTATATTCAATATTCTTCACCAACACCACAACTCAAAGACATCAATTCTTCTCAGTCTTCCTTATTCATTGTCTGGCTATCACATGCATACAGGCGATTGAAAACACCACGGTTTGGGTCAGGCACACCTTAGTCCTCAAAGTGAAATCTTTGCTTTTTAACACTCTAAAGAAGTCTTTTGCAGCAGATTTGCCCACTGCAATGCGTCTTTTGATTTCTTGACTGCTGTTTCCATGGGTATTGTTTATGGATCCAAGTAAAATGAAATGCTTGGTAACTACAATCTTTTCTCTGTTTATCATGATGTTGCCTACTGGTCCACTTGTTAGGATTTTTGTTTTCCTTATGTTGAGGTGTAATCCATATTTAGAATGGTAGTCTTTGATCAGTAAGTGCTTCAAATCCTCTTCATTTTCAGCAAGCAAGATTGTGCCATCTACATAACACAGGTTGTTAATAAGTCTTCCTCCAATCCAGATGCCCCATTCTTTTTCATATAATCCAGGTTCTTAGATCATTTGCTCAGCATACAGATGGAATAAGTATAGTGAAAGGGTATAACCCTTTCACACACCTTTCCTGACTTTAAACCACACAGTAGCCCCTTGTTCTATTTGAACAACTGCCTCTTGATCTATGTACAGGTTCCTCATAAGCACAATTAAGTGTTCTGGAATACCGTTCTTTGGAATGTTATCCATAATTTGTTACAATTCACACAGTTGAATGCCTTTGCACAGTGAGTAAAACACAGGTAACCATCTTTCTGGTATTCTCTGCTTTCAGCCAGGATCCATCTGACGTCAGCAATGATATCCCTTCTTTCCACATCCTCTCCTGAATCCAGCTTGAGTTTCTGGCAGTTCTCTATGTACTGGCTGCAATTACTTTTGAATATTTTCAGCAAAATTTTACTTACATGTGATATTATTGATTATAGTCTATAATTTCTGCATTCAGTTGGATCACCTTTCTTTGGAATAGGCAAAAATGTGGATCTCTTCCAGTTGGACGACTAGGTAGCTGTCTTCCAAATTTCTTGGCATAGACAAGTGAGCACTACCCAGCTCTGCATCTATTTGTTGAAACATCTCAATTGGTATTCCAACAATTCCTGAAGCCTGGTTTTTCACCAATGCCTTCAGTGCATCTTGAACTTCTTTCTTTAGTACCATCGGTTCCTGATCACATGCTACCTCCTGAAATCATTGAATGCTGACCAATTCTTTTTGGTACAGTGATTCCGTGTGTTCTTATCGTCTTCTTTTGATGATTTATGCATCGTTCAGTATTTTGCCCATAGAATCTTTCAATATTGCAACTCCAGGCTTGAATTTTTTCTTCAGTTCTTTCAGCTTGGGAAATGCCGAGCGTGTTTTTCCCTTTTGGTTTTCTGACTCCAGGTCTTTTTGCATGTCATTATAATACTTTACTTTGTCTTCTCGAGCCACCCCTTCTGGAAGGGCCCTGCTGTGCAGTTCAGTTGGAGAGACACTGCACTCAGCCTCCATGGGTCTGGGCCACCATGAAGACTGGTTCCCTCAGTACCATTTTATTTATTTATTTATTTATTATTTCTTTGTTTGTTTTTTTATTGTTTCTTCTTTCTCACTCCCTTCCTTCCTTTCCTTTCTCCCATCCACCCAGCCCCATGTGCCACCCCCAACTTATTGGTGGGCTATGCTATACCACTCAGCTGGAGAGCCTCTGACACATAGCCTGCCAGGGTCTACACTGCCCCCACAGTCCAGGTCCCTCAGCACCGTATTTTTTTATTTTTCTTTCTCTTTCCCCTTCTTTTCCTTCTCCTTTCCACCTAAGCCCTGTGCTGCCTCTGCCCCTTCCTGACGGGTCTTGCCATGCCACCCAGGGAGAGAGACATCAGCTCATTGCCACCCCAATTCCACCCTGCCCCCAACGGCCAGCTTCCCCACCACTATTTTTTTTTTGTTGGTGTTGTTTTTATCTTTTTTATTATTTTTTTAATTTTTTTTATTTACTTGTTTCATTGTTAGTTTCTTCTCTCTCTTTCCCCTATTGCCTGGCCTTTCTCCAGC